ATATGTTGGTTTAATTAATTTTCCTAGAAATGATTGGTTAATACATATCAATTTCAAAGATGCTGTAGGTTATCATTTATAAATATTGAAAATTTTTATAAATTATTATTATTATTGTTATTATTATTTTATTAAAAAAATGGATTCGAATTTTGCTTTAATTTAAATTCACGCACCAAACACCAAAAAATCTATTATAAAATAGGATATTTATAACCTTTAATTTTAAGTTTAAAAACTTAACTAGTTTATACACTATTAAATAAATATTGACCAAACATTTCATCCATATAAAAAAATTCACAGTTATGCACTTATTTATAACTAATAATAAAAGTAGTCCCCAAATTGGGATTGTCCATCAAGAATTTCAATTTTACGCTACTTGTTGCACAACAATTGGCTCTTCATTTAAAGACTTTTCATTTTTTTTTGGCATGAAAATAAAATGCATCGTTTTGCTTTAAATTGATAAAAAAATGAAATGAAAAAAAAGAAAGAGAGAATTCTAGAGACTTCTGAAGATGGGAGAGACGTAAGAAATTTTAAAGACTCCAGAGATAAATGAAAAAAATGAGTAGAGAGTGGAGAGACAAGAAAGAAAAATGGAAAGAAAGGGAAAAAAAGAGATAGAGAAGAAGGACTAGCAGCAAGCTAAGTCGCTGATGAAAAAAAAAAGTTAGAAAAAAGGCCAGCAAAAAATGGTAAATAATTCTTGATGATTTTTTTGGCATCTTTCATGTTTTAGTTTTTTTATTATCTTTGATTTTTTTTGCCAAATTTTCTTTTGATTTGATTTTTTTTTAATTTATAGATTTTGTCGCAAAGAAAGAGCTTGATAGCTTTTTTATGATCTCTCAGTGTGTTTTTATATTTTGTAATTTCTATTATCTTTGGGTTTTCGAAGAATTTGTTTTCTATTTGATTTTTTTTTATATTTATAAATTTTGATTTTATTTTGATGATTTTTTTAATCTCAATTAAGTAATATATTTCAATTTTTTACTATTTAAGTTGTCTTTTTTATTAATTTTTAGGTAACATGTGAAAATTACATAAAAAATATTTGTGCTTATTTTCTATGAGTATGATTCAATTATTTAATTGCTTAATTTTATTTGTTGTACTTATAATTTTTTTGCTTCTAAGTTGTTTTGAAATATTCTTGTTGGTTGGTAGTTTTTTGTTGGCTTTCTCATTATGGTTTCATTTTCCATTTGTTCTCAATTGATTTAAGCTTCACACCCTATTTGATGATAGGCTTAAACAAAGTGTCTTTTGGGTATTCTCCTCATTTTTCAATTGTGTTGGATTTTCATTAATTAGGAACTTTTTAATCTCATATCAAGTACTTAATTATGATATCATCTTTTGGTTTAAAGAAAAAAATATGCCACTAACTAAGCAAGTTAGGTTGGAAAAAAAAAAAGAGGTATAACCTAAAACCCAAAAATGTTAATCTTGGTTAACTGCTAAGCCATCTTATGCTAAAAATAGTAGGTATAGATTAGCTTAAGCTTACATATGAATAATAAGACAAAAAATTAAAGACAACAAAAAAAATGAATGATCATGTTACTGCCATCTCAATAATAAGTCCCATAGTAAGCCTGAAGAATTGCTTTAGCAAGTTGTTTAAAAGAGTTAATGTCGTGGTAATAGTTGATTAATCATAACTTGGTTTAGGAAATGTGCATTTAAAATAATAGCAATACGTTAGTTCTAAAACTAAAAATTCACACTTGAAAATTGAATGAGAAAAAAAGTTATAAATTTATATAATCTTTAATGATGTTGCAATACAGATTACTTCTTTATGCCGTTAAATAGGTCCAATGAAAAGGTCAAATAATTTATCTGATATGATATCAATCAACTCAAAAAATTTTATGTAAGAAAAATATATGTTACTAATGCTTCTATTGACTTTAAGAGCATACCATAAAGTTTCACTCACCTAAAATGTTATTGTTGAAGAATATATGTAAGAAAAATACTAAAATGTTATTGTTAAAAAATATATGTAAAAAAAAACTACATTGAAAAATATTGTTTCACCCTTATATTGTACCCTTTTTATTCTTATAAGCATAACTTCAATAGATTAGTATATGTAAGAGCATGGTTGATCCTAAGAATTATGCCAAACAGAGTTTTAAGCTCTACCTTACTTGAAGAATGCTTTTTTCCCTTATTCTTGATATAATTCTTATGCATTAGAGTTGAAACAAGGAAAAAAAATAAAAAAAAATGAGTCAAACTTTATTAACCAAATTTGAGTAGCTACTCAATGAAAATAATAGTTAAAACAAATAAAAGTTTAAAATATCATAAACTATGTCATTTAGAATTAAGAGTTTGTTGATTTGATAGCATGATCAATTACAATGCAAAGTTGATGACATGATGTATATATTAATTCAATGAATGAGAATGTATGTCTTATACCACATCATTGGCCTTAAGAATGATTGATTCTCTTTGGGGGAGCATCATTTTCTTAGAAAAATTAGATATGTTAAACAATCTATTTAAGAACTTTGAGTTTGATTAGGAGGTCAACGTACATAAAAGTTAATTAAATGGCTTAAGAATAACTATGGTACCCTAAAACAAAAATGTCTTAACATTAAAACAAACTAATAATAATTCAAGAATAGCTATAGCATTTAGTTTGATATCTCATCATCATTGATATCAACTAATGAAAATATTCAAATATTTTAGTAGTATAAATTGACATATTATTCTTTTTCTCCTCATCATTATTCAATGTCTACACCTATATGCAAAAAAAATCCTCAATACTCCAATTTCATGTGCACATAATGAATGTCATAAAAAAACAAATTAAGGACAGATTTGGGCATCACCATTTCACAAACCAACCCCAGAAAGTTCTAGAGGGAGATTATGTCAAAAACTCTCTAATCTCTTCTCCCTATTCCACACCAAAACTCTCATCCAAGAAAAAATCTTCTTCATACCCCAAACTTCATTCTCGCTTTCAACAAAACCGTCTATCATAACGTCTAGATCCAGGGATCTATCGTTAGACATTGACTTTTTAAAGAGTCGCCACTAATCTTTTTTATTTAAGTGCGATTGGCCACCTAAGAAATCTATCCTTTCAAGGAACACCTAAGTTTAAGGGTCCCTAAAAGAATAGATTCGGGTCTATTAACCAGAACAAGGTTCAGGAGTTCGGTTCACGTGTGAGAAAAGTTATAGCCCCTCACAACATCCATCAAAAGATGGTACCCGGAACTTAATTTTATGTTATCCAATAAGCCTTAAAAATTTACGCAAGTAATCCAATTATTGAAAATTATTCTCAATTGACTTAATATTTTAGGCACAAGACACAATTAAACAAATTCTCACCTTAAGAGTATGCCAAGAAACTAACTGTTCACTTGACACGCGTCCAATACGTCAGACTTATTTACGTTAAAGAAAATTCAAAAAAATAAAAAGAAAAAAAATGATTGCTTTTGTACAGGAAAATTTGATACTTTCAACTTTTTCTCAAAATATTTTTTAGAAATTTTAATTTCGAGGAAAATTGATACTTTCAACTTTTCTCCAAAAATATTCTTTAGAAAGCTTATTTTCAAGAAAAATTGATATTTTCAACTTTTCCTCAAAAATATTTTTTAGAAACTTTAATTTCGAGCCATTTTTGAAAACTTATTTTTAAGAAAAATTGATACTTTCAACTTTTTCTCAAAAAATATATTTTTTTTGAAATTTTATTTTCAAAGAAAATTGATACTTTCAACTTTTCCTAAAAAATATTTTTTTTTAAAATTTTTATTTTTTTGTAAAAAAAATAAATAAAAAATACTCCTAAAAATAATTAACACATAAAAAACAAATAAATAAATAAACAAATGAATAAAATACCAAAAAAATAATAATAGCTCGGCTTGAGGAATTTGATGTGGCTCCAGGCACAAAAGACGGCTTGAGATGTAAAAATGATTTAATAATTCGGCTCAGAGACAAAGACAATAGGACATTACAGCTGGTTGATCCGTAATGCTCTACAGCCACCAAAGGATAGAGTAATATATGGTATCTTCAATGCATCAACAAATTTGATGGTGGTCATCAAATCTCCATCCACCTCAAAACTGACCACACCACCAAAGCCTGTCATTTGCTACTTGGCAATTCCATATTCAGGATGACTTGGCAAGTCTGGATAATAGACACGTCTCACCTTAGGATGTGCCTCTAAAACTTTGGCCATCCTTAATGCTGTCAAATTCTATTACTGTACAGGAGATGCAGTGTTTTCATGCCTCTGATGATCAGATACACAGGATTCAGGTTGAAAGTACCTCTCAAAATATGATGCAAAGTACGAATTTCAGTAACCAATTTCTCAAAACCACTTATGTAACCAGCAAGAACATCATTGAGGCCTCCCAATCTGTTTGCTACAGTTGTCAATACAACTTTCTACAACTGCCATCTCATCAATGAAGGAGACATCGATGGCAGTTGCCTGAGCAGCAACCACCGTCGAGAAGGGTAAATCCAAAGCAAGATCGTTCGATCACGAAACAGTAACTACTTGCGTGACACCAATGTTACTATAGTTTCGGTGAGATTTGATGCTAAGCTGGCACACGAAGTCAGGCGAGAAACGAAATATCAGAGACAATAAACTTTCGCCATCGATTTTTCGTCCAACACAAAATAACAACGTCATCACTCGTCATGTCAACCCAACACGAGGCTTGTCTCCTATCGGTGCACCAGAGAAGTCGAGATCGAAACGGCAATCGAATGAAGAATAAATCTGATTTCTTCTAAACTTTTGGTCACTTGGCAAATCCCAGATGCCATGTAACTTCTTAGAAAGATCAAGACAAGCACTTAGATCTGTCTGAACTCTAATTTCCTTACAACTTGACTTGGTTGTGTTTAGGCCAACCTGATCATCAAAAGCTTTTGTATTTGAAAATTCTTGGATAACCTCATGATGAGCTGCAACAAGGATTTCATGTTCTAAGTTTACAATCCTCGACCCATGAAAATTAGCAACGTTCACCTAATTCTTTGAATCCATAAATGCAAGCTAATCCTTCTTATTTCTTTCCTTCTTAAGCTGTGAACACTCTCGTTCTAGGTTCTCTTGCTGCTTTGAAACGTGTCCCAGCTCCTTCTTTAAGCACTCAATCTCGAAATCCTTAATGTTTTCAGAACCGTAAACTAACTGCACAAGAGTTGAAAAAGTAGCGCATTTAGCAAAAATGCCATTGGAATTCAAGGCCCTACCGAAATCGACGATTATCTGAAAGAGTTCTCTGGGAGGCGAGTAACTAAGAGAATCAGTGCGAGATGATGGCGAAAAATGTAGGTGTTGATGATGTGAGGATGTTGGTGGTGGTGGCCATGACAAAGGTGGTAAATAGAAGGAAAAAAGAGGGCTGTTTTGGTTAGCAGAAGAATAAAAAAGAACGATTTTTCAACTTGGATAAGTTCCTCCAGGAAACTCACATCCCATTTTTCCAAATTTTTTTTCGCTCATACCCTTTTTTTTTCTTGGTTTCTGTTTGGTTTTTTCTTTAGTCTCTGTCTATTGCTGTGAATTGTAATGATATATAAAATCAAGTGATTGTGTTTCAGTTCAATTCTGATTATCATCCAAAGCTAAAGATTAGCATATCTAATATTTTTTTATAACAATCATCACCAAGCCTAATCTCATTATTTCAGCTTTTTTTTTAAATTAATCTGATAATGGAGAAAGAAAAAAAAAAAAACAATAGATAGAAAATAAAAATGATAAATATGAAATAAAAAATCTAAAATAAAAATGAATAAAAATCTTTACAATCGAGCTTAAATTAGTCTCGATTGACAAAGAATCTCGAATAAAATATGGTGTCTATAGTTGCCCCTCTTTGCACATTTTTTGTGAAACAAAAATCGTGTAAAGACGTAAACACCCATTCAAGACTCAACTTGACCTTTTTTTTTTTTTACATTTTTTGCCCCTTTTTTTGCTTTTTTTTTAGTTTTTTTTATTTTTTTTAAAATTTTGATCAAAACTCCTCTAAGCATAGGCTCAACGACTTTGAAAAATAAACAAAACTCCTCTAAACAAAGGTAACTTTTTTTTATTTTTTTATTATTTTTTTAAATTTTGATCAAAGCTCCTCTAAGTAAAGGCTCAACGACAGAGATTCAACAAATTTGGAAAAATAAATAAAGGCTCCTCTAAGCAGAAGCTCAACAACTTTGAAAAAATAAATAAAGGCTCCTCTAAGCAGAGGCTCAACAACTTTGGAAAAATAAATTGCTCCTCTAAACAAAGGCTCAACGACTTTGGAAAAATAAATTGCTCCTCTAAACAGAGGCTCAATGACTTTTGAAAAAATAAATGGCTCATCTAATCAGAGGCTCAACGACTTTGGAAAATAAATGGCTCCTCTAATCAGAGGTTCAACGACTTTACAAAATAAATAAATTCTCTAAGTAGAAGCACCATACTTCAAAAATAAATGCTCCTCTAAACAGGGGCACCACAATTTTGAAAAGTAAATTGCTCCTCTAAATAGAGGTAACCCCGACTTTGAAAAATAAATTGCTCCTTAATAATCATGTCCAAATGAGTTATAGATCGTGATTGAAGGAATTTTGTAATGAAAAACTCAAGGATTCATAATTTGAGTTCAACATTCTGAGGTTCAGATTCATAAGAATCTTTCAACTTCGTAAGAATTTACTGAAATTTGATTCTCAAAATTTCAATTTCATTCAAATTTGTAATATCTCGAGATTTACATTTACAACTTTCAAGACTCGCATCCAATATTTAAATATCCTTATTTGAATTTTGGAGATTCACATCCAAAAGTTCAAGGCTTTTCAAAGGTTCTCATTTGGCAAACTTGAAATTCATATCCAAAAATCTAAAGCTTTTCATTTGAATTTTGGAGATTCACATCCAAAAATTCAAAGCTTCTCATTTGAGTTTAAAGGCTCACATGCAATAAAACTTAGAGTTTCACATCTAAGTTCAAAGGTTCTTATTTAAAAAATTAGAAATTCATATCCAAAAAGTTGAAGCTTTGTATTTTGGAGATTCATATCCAAAAGTTCAAAACTTTTCATTTGTTCGAAGATTCACATTTGATGAACTTTAGGGTTTTCACTCCTCAAATATTCTCATTTTAAAACTCAAAGATTCTCATTTGAGTTATCAAAAATTCTCATCAAAATATTCACAATTTATTTTTCGAGTGACTTAAAAATTTGCATGAATAAATATTATGATCAAAAATGCAAATGCCTTCTTAATGATGTAAATGCAACAACCTAGATTCTCATAGTGCCATGCATGTCCAAACAAAGTTTAATTCATCAAATTACGTGCATATACCATTCAAGCAATGATGCCAACATGTTACATGTAATGCGAATGTCAATAATGTCATGAAATCTTAAATAATTATGGAATATGGTCCTCAAGACCCTACCATCTCACATTCTCCCTTTATTTAGCTTTTAACATTTTAGAACAAGCTTTATCAACTGATCATCATTGTTTCCATTACTTGATCACCATCCAAAGTTTCTCAGCACCAACAAATTTTACCTATTACCTTATATGCCAGGCTTATCAGCACTAACCATTTCAAAATAAATTTCATGTTCTGTCACTTGGTCATCGTTCATAAGCTTCTCAATACTAGCCATTTCAAAACAAATTTTATCACCTGTCACTTGGTCATCGTTCATAAGCTTCTCAGCACTAGTTTCGTCTATTGCCCTATATCATTTTCATCACTTAATCATAACTCATAGGTTATACCGACCAATACATCCCCATATTCATTACTTGATTATACCACTTTTCAAGATTTACCCTATCTTCATTTTATTATCCAATCCATCATCATATTCTCTATTTGGTCACATCATATGTCCTTTTCAAATCATCTCTTTTAGGTTTCTACCATTTTTTATTTTATTACCACCATCATCTTAGATTTCTCTTTAAAGGAATACAAGACTTTTTTATGCACATTGTCATTCATTCATCATCATTTCAATTCTTGACAATTATAATGCATTCATACATTTTTTTTATTTATTCTAGGGATATAAAAATAAGAGAACACAAGGTGAATTATGGTAAAGATAATCAATGAAGATCTATTTTGATACAAAACAAATAGAAAAGGAAATAAATTGGATACATGTCATTGGGATGTCATTGGGATGAATGGTATGTCCAAATGATAAATATACAGACAATTCTCAACATTAATCTAGAATTTTTTTAAAAAAACTCATTCCATTTATTGTTGAAGTCATTTTGAGTTTGGTGAACTTTGCCCCAGTCTTTGAGGGATCTTCAGATGTCTTTGATCTTCCATCCATGTGAACCATTTGACCTAGATCTTTTTCTACCCAAATCACATTTTCAGGTTTTCAATTTGAATCTTTTTTTCATTTTTTTTCCTTTTTTTCTTTATTTTTCATTTTTCATCATCTTCTTTTCTTTTTTCTCATTTTTCATCCATTGTTGATATCTTTCCACACATCAAACTTTAGAGCAATGTAGCATGACTCCATTGTTTCATCATGAGCATGCCTTCGCTCAACATATGATCATTCAAGTTAAGCATTCACACTTGATCCAATGGACTTGTCAAGGTTGTAATGTAGGTCAAGGTGAGGGGTCATAAAAAAAATGGATATAATAGGCTTAAAATATGTATTAAAAAGATTCAAGACCAAAGGATCATTTGATGCAACTTGGCATTTTGCCCCCACATCATTTCACTACTGTTTTTTCCTCACACAAAAGATTCTCATTATTTTACCCCAAATCATGTGTGACATTTATTTTATCTTTTGCTTTTTTTTTCTTTCCATCTTTGAAAAAATTACCCCCCAGTGTAAAGGGTGATCCTTAGTTGGAGTTTTTTCTGAAAAAAAATCATAAAGGCTCAAAGGGGTAACAATAAATGATTTTTCGAATGGTAAAAAAAAGATGATCATTTTTCATCTCAATTGTGAATACCTTTCTTGAACATCATCTATTGAACAAAGCTCATGAACCCGTATAAAAGATTGCACATCTTCAAAACATATCCATTTCACCTCTGGTAACAGCTTACTTTTTACTCAAATAATCTCCTCATATTAATGTGGATGAGTTCTCAAAATTAAAATCTCAAAATTATTGTTATCATTATCTAAATATTCATCATCTAATGTGAAGTAGCATTCAACCAGTTTTAACATCCTTCTTTAAAATCATGCCCTTGTGCAATCAGGTGAAGGATTTTTATCTCATCTCCTTGATTCATTGCGACTCTTCAGGCCTTTTTAAATTAACATATTCTTGATTCTCATTCAAAGCATTGACATTATGATTAGGTAATGGATTACCACTAATATTAGGTGTTGTTGCTCTTTCTTGATCAAAACTTACCCTTCCATCCTTGATTAACCGTTGCACCTTATGCTTTAGAGCAGTGTAAGTTTTAGTGAAATGGCCAGTAATTTTATAGTGGTAGTCACAGTGAACTATAGGATCATACCATTTAGGATAAGATGGCTTGAGCAACTCCATATAACTTGAAGGTAATCAGGTGGCTATTATAGAGCCCTCGATATAACTCCATATAAGTCATGATGATTGGATCAAATACGAGCTTTTCTCAAATAGTCTATTACTCTCATGAACCACTTGTTAGGCTAATATGATAAATTTAGGGTCTTGCAGAAGTTTCAATGTTAAGGCTATATATGAGAGCTTATGGGATAAAAATGGGCTAGTATAGGGATGAATTAGGTGGTTGTGAGGCTAGTTGGTATAGATAAGATGAAGTATTGTTCACAGCAAGATAGTATGAAGAGTAACCTTGAGGTGGATAGGGTTGATATCCCCTGAACTGTTTGTTAAAGCCTACAGCTTGAGCTTCAATCATTTTTTTCTTAGGTGCCTTCTTGGTTTCTCCTCCTTTCAGCTTACTATTTTTAATGGCATTCTCAATGATTTCGTCTGAAATCACCATGTCAACGAAATTTTTTATGACATTCCCTATCATCTTTTCATAATAAGGAGATTTCAAAGTGCTGACAAACAATACAGTGGTCTATTTTTCAGTCAAAGAAAGTTGCACTTGAGTAGCAATATCCCTCCACCATTGGGCGTATTTTTTGAATGATTCAATTACTTTCTTTTCATATTCTATAAAAAAAAATGATCAGGGGCCAAATATAGGTCCTGTCCAATTGGACATATCACCTAGCAATAGAACCAATGAAGTTATCTTGAAAGACGTGCATCAAGAGCTTTTTATTATTGGCATGGACAGCCATTTTTTTATAGTACATAGTAATGTGAGTTTTCAAACACCTTATACCATTGTATTTCTCGAACTCTGGCACTTTAAACTTTGGAGGGATACCACATCTGAGACTAAACAGAGTTCATCAACATCAGCAGAGCCATAAAAACTCACTCCTTCCACTACTCATAGCCTTTCCTCTAACAAGTTTATCTTTTGTTCAGCTTTTAAGGCTTCTACAAGCTCCTTCTCTTTGGGCCTCAATTTTTCCTTTTTTTTAATTCTTTTAGATCATCCAAATTAGGGACTGATATTGGTTCTACTATCTTTTCAGTAAAAATAAAATTTATATAACTTTGGTATTGTCTTTGATTTGAATCTCATGGTATTTTGGGATATGTGTACCCTACAAGATAGGTGAACTACTATGATGATGGACCTTGTGCAGATTTGACTTGATGTGGTTTGAAACCAATAGGGTACAATGGGTTATCTTCGTCTTGTAAGGGGATGATCTTGTTGGCTAGCATTCTTCTTTATTACTTTCCCTTGTTTAACTTGTTCAAAGCTTCTAAAATCTTATTCAACTTCTCTTTTAACTTCTCATGAGCTTTCTCTATTCTCTCGAGACAATTGAAATTTTTTTATTCCATTAGTCTGGCTTAAGCTCTTGTATTGTATTGGTGAGTGGGGTTGCTTGGTGGAGTTATCCTTGAACCTTTAGTATTATAATTATGATTAAAAATATTATGCTATGCTTTATATATGATACGTTGATGCACGAATGAAATGTACATTTTTATGGATGAAATCTAATATGAAATGGATGCAAATGATTGTGTTAAAACATGATCATGAAAATAATACAGATGCATAAAATCAGACAAACAACATAGTTTTATAGATGAAATGAAAGTGATGCCGATGCATAATGTTACATATGATAATAAAAATGATGCACAAAGTTAGACAATCAAAATGATTAGATAAACATTCTTCTTGTGTCCTAGTTTCAGGGTATACCTATCATTGGGTAAAAAGGGTTCTATCTTAGGTTTAGGCACTTCTAAGGTTCACTATATGTGGTTCAAAGTTAAAGTCTAAAGGTTTTCAAATTGCTCCTTACATCATTGTCCATCACAGACTAGTAAAACACCGTAATCCTCACCCGTTACAGGCTACAAGCGAAAAAGATTCAATTTGAATGGGAGTATTTCGTTAGCCACTGCGGAGGCCTTAAACGTCACGAAAGCAATAGGTACTTTACTCCCTCCTAGAGGGACGGAGCTCAGGTATAGAGCTCATGTTGTGCATATACAAATGAATGACATAATTAATAAAGTAAATAAACATGAATGAATAAAAAATCTATACAAAAGGTTCAATTTTATTAGGCTTTTGAATAACACAAATTTATTTGCTGGCCTGACTCTCGGACTTCTCCAGTAGAGTCGCCAAGCTGTCATAACATCTAGATTCGGAGATCTATCGTTAGACATTGACTTTTCAAGGAGTCGTCACCAATCTTTTTTATTTAGATGCAATTGTTCACCTAAGAAATTTATCCTTTCAGGGAACACCTAAGTTTAAGGGTCCCTAAAAGAATAGGTTCGGATCTACTAACCATAACTGGGTTCGAGAGTTCGGTTACGTGTAAGGAAGGTTATAGCACCCTCACAACGCCCATCAAGAGATGGTACTAGCTTAATTTTGTGTTATCCAATGAGCCTTAAAACTTTATCAAGTAATCAATTATGGAAATTATTCTCAATTGACTCTAATACTTTTAGCAGAAAATTAAAAAAATTTTCTCACCTCAAGAGTATGTAAGAAAACTACTGTCTCACTTGCAGAGGCTCCATCGTCGGATTATTTAACATTAAAGAAAATTTAAAAAAATAAAAAAAAATGATTGCTTTCGTACAGGAAAATTGATACTTTCAACTTTTTTCCCAAAATATTTTTTAGAAATTTTAATTTCGAAGAAAATTTATACTTTCAACTTTTCTTCAAAAATATTTTTTAGAAAGCTTATTTTCAAGGAAAATTGATACTTTCAACTTTTTCTCAAAAATATTTTTTAGAAACTTTAATTTCGAGGAAAATTGATACTTTCAACTTTTCTTCAAAAATCCGTTTTTGAAAACTTATTTTTAAGGAAAATTGATACTTTCAACTTTTTTCCAAAAATATATTTTTTTCTGAAATCTTATTTTCAAAGAAAATTGATACTTTCAACTTTTCCTCAAAAATTTTTTTTTTTGAAAATTTTTATTTTTTTGTAAAAAAAACAAATAAAAAATACTCCTAAAAATAACTAACACAAAAAATAAATAAATAAATAAACAAATGAATAAAATACCAAAAAAAATAATCGCTCAGCTTGAGGAATTCGACGTGGCTCTAGGCACAAAGGACGGCTTGAGATGTAAAAAGTGATTTAATAATTCGGCTCAAAGACAAAGACAATAAGACATTACAGCTGGTTGATCCGTAATGCTCTACAGCCACCAAAAGATGGAGCAATGTATGGTATCTTTAATGCATCAACAAATTTGATGGTGGTCATCAAATCTTCATCCACCTCAAAACTGACTACACCACCAAAACCTGTCATTTGCTGCTTGGCAATTCCATGTTCAGGATGACTTGGTAAGTCTGGATAATAGACACGTCTCACCTTAGGATGTGCCCCTAAAACTTTGGCCATCCTTAATGCTGTCAAATTCTGTTACTGTACACGAGATACAGTGTCTTCATGCCTCTGATGATCAGATACGCATGATTCGGGTTGAAAATACCTCTCAAAATATGATGCAAAGTATGAATTTCAGTAACCAACTTCTCAGAACCACTTATGCAACCAGCAAGAACATCATTGAGGCCCCTCAATCTGTCCACTACAGTTGTCAATACAACTTTCTACAACCACCACCTCATCAACGAAGAAAACATCGATGGCAGTTGCCTGAGCAGCAACCACCGTCGAGAAGGGTAAATTCGAAGCAAGATCGTTCGATCACGAAACAGTAACTACTTGCGTGACACCGATGTTACTACAGTTGCGATGAGCTTTGATGTTGAGCTGGCACACAAAGTCAGACGAGAAACAAAATATCAGAGACAATAAACTCCCACCATCGATTTCTCCTTCAACATAAAACAACAACATCATCACCCGTCGTGTCAACCTAACACGAGGCTTGTCTCCTATCGGTGTGCCAGAGAAGTCGGGATCGAAACGACAGTCGAATGAAGAATAAATCTGATTTTTTTTAAACTTTTGGTCACTTGGCAAATCCCAGATGCCATGCAACTTCTTAGAAAGATCAAGACAAGCACTTAGATCTGTCTGAACTTCAATTTCCTTACAACTTGACTTGGCTATGTTCAGGCCAACCTGATCATCAAAAGCTTTTGTATTTGGAAATTCTTGGACAACCTCATGATGAGCTGTAATAGGGATTCCACGTTTTAAGTTTACAATCCTCGACCCATGAAAATTAGCAACGTTCACCTCATTCTTTGAACCCACAAATGCAAGCTGATTCTTTTTATTTCTTTCCTTCTTAAGCTGTGAACACTCTCATTCCAGGTCTTCTTGCTGCTTTGAAAAATATCCCAGCTCCTTCTTTAAGCACTCAATCTCGAGATCCTTAACGTTTTTAGAATCGCGAACTAGCTGCATAGGAGTCGAAAGAGTAGCGCATTTAGCAAAAATGCCATTAAAATTCAAGGCCCCATAGAAATCGATGGTTATCTGAGAGAGTTCTCTTGGAGGCGCATAATTAAGGGAATCAGTGCGAGATGATGGCGAAAAATGTAATTGTTGATGATGTGACGATGTTGGTGGTGGTGGTGGCCGTGACAAAGGTGGTAAATAAAAGGAAAAATGAGGGCTGTTTTGGTTAGCAAAAAAATAAAAAAGAGCGATTTCTTCAACTTGGATAAGTTTCTCCAGGAAACTCACATCCCATTCTTCCAAATTTTCTTTCGCTCATACCCTTTTTTTCTTAGTTTTTGTTTAGTTTTTTCTTTGGTCACCTCTCCCTCCGTCTATTGCTGTGAATTGTAATGATATATAAAATCAAGTGATTGTGTTTCAGTTCAATTCTGATTATCATCCAAAGCTAAAGATTAGCATATCTAATATTTTTTTATAACAATCATCACCAAGCCTAATCTCATTATTTCAGTTTTTTTTTAAATTAATCTGATAATGAAGAAAGAAAAAAATAAACAATAGATAGAAAATAAAAATGATAAATATGAAATAAAA